GACAAAAGTCTTCCATAACTAACATAACATTAATTCCTTAACAAATCATCACATTTACCAACTTTTTCTATCCAAATCAATAATTTTTTCCATCAAATAATTACATTATGCGACCATAATCAGTTAACAATAATATTAATTGCACTTAATTTGAGATTTAATTGGTGGAGACCTAATGGTTTGTGACCATTGACTAGATAAGATTGTTTATTAAATACTGAGACTCACTATTCGACTTAATAGCACAATGCATTAGGTATCAAGAACATTGTTCAAAAAGTTAACAATTATTTAGATAGGAGATCAAATCGATATCACCAGAACACAATAATAGGTTAGACACAATTAAATAAGTCTAAATTTTATTTCAAAAACTACATGTCTAATAAAAAGAAAAAAAAAATTGAGGGGGGCATGTTCCCACCCTAGTTTGAGGGTGGCTCCGCCCCTGCCTATGGCATGATTTTCAAGCCAGATAACTTTGTTTTCAGGCAGTCGGGCTCGGGAACAACTGGTCTAAGGAGCATTACACCATAGGTACTGAGCTTATTGATTCGATGGGTCAACTATTCAATCAAATGATATTGAGCATGTTTCCCATCTAATGACGTTTCTATGATTGTTCTAGGGATGACTCATGAGATTGACCCTAAAATTTTTTGTGCCTCTTTAGAAAACCTCCCAAAAATATTTTAATTATGTGTGCCTAAAATATGAATAACCGGTCTTTAAGAGTCTACCATATGTAAGGAGTAGGAGAAACCATTAAAATATGTTTGAATCAATAGGTCTTCATATAATTCATTTGAAACAATGAAAACCTTTATTTAGTGGATGATTATAAATTGGTGATCCTTTTTAAAAATCAAAATTCTTGATCAATGGTGGACGAATGTATCATTTGTGTTCAATAAGATACCAAAGTGGATGATTGACTAATCCTATACTTTCAACCCATTATGCAACTTCTAAGATGTGAGAGGTTGATATTTCAAGACAAGTATTGCTTCAACTAGATAGAAACACCCAACCAGACTAATTCTTCTAGTTAAGAATTGTTCTTCTGATCAACAAAAACTTAAACCTGAACTACTTGGCAGAATCTATGAAACCATAAGTAATTTTCTATTAAAATGTTAAGAAAATTAATCTATTTCCCACTTGTTTTTAGTGTACAAAAACATGGATCTACCCTTTTTTTTCTCGACTATACTTGATTACCAGGCTTACTAATTTTGTGTCATTTGCTTCTCGAACCAACTTTTCCATTCAAAGCAATTTTCAGTGTAGGAATTTTTCTACAATATAAGAATAAGAGACTTTGGTTTTAATTGGCTACCATCATTGTTGCAATCTTAAGAAAACTTTTGCAATGAAATTTCTCATACATCACTTTCCCTTGGTGCTGGTACAATACAGGGGTTCAGGTATGTCATTCTTTTGGGGTGGAACGGGGTTTGGAATGTGCACCATACTCATTTCCAAGATCAGAGAAGAATACCCTGATAGAATGATGCTGACATTCTCTATCTTTCCATCTCCAAAGGTCTCAGACATAGGCATAAAGCTTTATAACGCTACCATTTCTGTTCATCAGCTAGTGGAGAATGCTGATGAGTGTATGGTCCTTGACAACGAAGCGTTGTATGACATCTGCTTTAGGACTCAAGCTCACAACCCTAAGCTGCAAGTATTACCAACATTTGCCCCAGAGATAATTAGTGATTTGTGTTAGTTTTTGTTCGAATTATTGTTTGGTTCAAATTGTTGAAGTACATGAACCCTTATATTACATCCTCTCTTATAGCTTGAACTTTTTGTACAACGGTAGTCTAACTCAAACGAGTCATGTTATGACGCTAGCTTTGGTCAATTTCTAATGTATATTTTGTGGATCAGTTGGGGACTTGAATTATCTCATCTCGATGACAATGAGTGGAGTAATATGTTGCGTGCGTTTTCCTGGGCAGCTGAACTCGGACCTTAGAAAGCTAGTGGTGAACTTGATACCATTCCACGACTTCACTTTTTCATGGTGGGGTTCGCTCCCCGGACATCATAAGGGTCTCAACAGTATCACGCTCTTACTATCTTGGAACTTACACATGATGTGTGTTGCTGATCCACGCCATGGTCGTTACCTCACTGCATCAACCATGTTTAGTGGTAAAATGAGCACAAAAGAGGATCCAAAACAATGTCAAGTCTAGTGTTTGTGACTTTGTGCCTAAAGGGCTTTCCAGCGCCTCAGTTCCCTACCACTAGCACCTAGGCACCCTGCTCACCTCTTGTGCCCTCTGCTTCTCTCTCGTCCATACTTGGCCTGCTAAAAAAGATGTTCATAAATTTTTATTGATGCCCCTCTCTCAAGTTCCATTGGATTCTGGGTATGGGACAAGTGATGGGCCCAGATCAAAGAAGCAGACCAGATCCAGAATTATAGAGTACGTTCAAACCATAGATACAGACCAACAAAGGCCCAGTCACAATTTCTATTGAGCCAAGCCCACCTTCCTGAGAGACCCAGCCTATCATCAGCGCACGTGAGAATCTCTATCTGAGGAGAGGGAATTTGTGGGGACTCGATTATCAGGGGCACATCGTCAATCTCGCAAGATCACCTCTCCCATTACCAGACAAGGTGAGCTTCAAGGAATCACCCGCTATCACCTTGCCCGTTATGAGGATAAGACGAGTTTCACGGAATCACCCAACTCCCTGTTACGAGAATGACGCCTCAATCAATGTCACTCGGAGCCAATTTCACTTGCCTATAAATTGTAAGCCTTGCCTACACATAGGTGACATCATACACATCTCAATACACTACATCTCAACATATTACATCTTTTAAGTAACAAGGTTCTCCAGCCACTGTCGCCATTTTTAGTGGAGTATGTCACCTAGATCAAACCACCTAATTTTTGTGTTTTCTTGTGTTAGGCTCATTCTTAATTATTGCATTAAATACTTGACAGATAATGCATAAATACATTTTGTGCATTATCCCTATCCACTATCCATTGCAAATTGTTTCTCAAATATTCATTGAAGACATAGCTAGATGAAGACTCTTGATATTTGTTTTTCGTGCTTGATTTTTAAGTCATTCTTTGACCGAATAACTTATTCTTCAATGAAATGGGCAAATGAAAATAGATTAGACGAACCCAAAGGTTCCTTCCACACTGTCATGGGTGATCGACCATGAGAATGATTGGTGCACATGCACACAAACCCTTCATAACTTGCTTTCTTTATGCCTTTGAATTTTTTGATTTTGGTGTCGGTATTCTCCACCATGTTTTGAATTCTAGAGAGGATTGTTTCTGAACGCACATGGGTAAGCAATGCGCTATTGGAGTTGGGTTTTTTTATTCAAGGACTTATGAATTCCCAACTCATACTGTAACAGAGTAGAGTTGATATTTTCAGAGGCTAAACTTCGAACATTTGTGTTTGTATCCTAGGTATATAGTGTGAGTTGGGAATTGTATTGAGTTACAATATTTTATTCTTATAAATAGGGTTGAGTATGATGTAATCAATTATCAAATGACTAACTTTTTAGAAAAATAAAAAATCAATGTAAGGGATGACTGATCATTTGATTAAGACAAGCATCAAGACGGGCATTAAGACAAAAAAGCTGCTTTCCCCCGCCCAAGAGAGAGACCCCTGCTAAATGGTGATTCAACATAGATTTATAATAGAGAAAGAGAGTGATTTGTCTACTTTGTTAATAAGGTAAGGAAATGAACTTCAAGTATTTGGTAGGACGAGGACGAAGACTTATTTATAATATAATGTGTGAACAACCTTTCACTTGAGTATGATCTAAATGAAAAAAAAATATGCACTGGGTAAATAGAAATGGAAAACAGATGTTTCCAATTCATCACAGTTAGTTGTTTTTTTTTACATCCATATGATCTACTAAAGTAGATTTAGGTAGAATTTATGAAGGTGAGTAAATTGGATCAAAAAATTTTCTCAGCTTCCTAATGATGATATGCAATGAACAAATAAAATTTAGGAAAATTTCCTTTTTACACCCTTATAGTTTGGGATTGTAACACTTCATCCCCTCATGGTTCAAATATAACCACATAACCTTCTTATGTTGTTGGACTAATCTGCACAACTAACAACGTTAACAGAAATAATTAAATTACCCGAATACCTTCACTATCATTTGTTGCTTCTTCAAACTGCCGGAGGGGAGTTTTCTAGAGAAAACTATGCAATACTTTAAACATTCAAACCTTGAATTCATACGGCATCACCTAACTAGAGCTCTATGATATTGATCAAACTAGACCAACAATTTTTTAGTCAAACGCATACAAATTTCTTAAATGTAGAGTTATAATTGCTTAGAAATATTAATGATGGATCATAGATTTACCTCAAACACGTAACTTCATTTTTAGAAAGTATATTGAAACCTTGAAAAATAATAACTTTCGGTACGATGCTATTTTTTTTTTTTAGCATAATTGGAGAGAGAAGTGCTACACTACCCATAAATTCTGGAACTCCTCTTTTCCCACTCAATGAGTCCAACGCACTCCACTACAACCTTTGACACTATTTGCTTCTCATTCCACCATAACCTACAGAAATTCTGCAACTCCTCTTTCCCCACTAGCAAGAGAGAGAGAGAGAGAAGAGAATCTTTTTGTTATTTTTGAGAATTTGTATGGGCACTTTGTAACAAGAGCTGAAGAGATTATTAGTAAGTATAAGTAGAAGGGGGTTATAAATATTGGCACTAAAATCATGATTGTTATTTTGCTAACTGTATATTTATATTAAAATCATAATGATCATGAGCCTTGTTGATATATTAAAATATTAGGGAATGGGAGGATAATTTAAGCAAATTACAATGCCTTCATTGTAAGGTATCCTGAAATTTAGCAATCAACTTAAGTTTTTTATTGAGAGATTGAAATCATGTAGGGTGCATTATTGGCAATTAGGATTAAAATATAATTATGTATGTCAGTAGTATCTTTTGTAAAGGCTTGTTGAAGAAACAATATTGGTGGTTGGTGGCTGAATTGCTCTCTCCATACACAAGGCCCAAAGTGGTCTTGGTTTGCCTTACCAGACTAAGCCACCACTTTTTCTGCTTCTTCTTTTGTTTGTTTACTTGAAACTTTCTTGAAGCATGGGAAACATTTGGTCCTGCATCTCACCCTTAATCAATTGTCTGACACCTTGTGTTGGTGATTGGATAGCTGAGCAAGTCAATCATGTAATCAAATTTGAGGAAAATCTGGATAGATTAAAGTCTGATTTGGTTGAATTGAAGCGAATCAAAAACGACCTGGAGCCATAGGTTGCTGTTGCCGAGGAGCAATCAATGATGCAGCGGCTGGACAAAGTAAAAGGATGGCTTTCAGATTTTCAAACCATAGAAACTGAATTAATTGAAGTGATAGAAAATGGCATCAAGGAGATTGAGAAGAATTTTTGCTGTGGATGTCCCAAGAATTGCTGCTCAAGGTACGAGTTGGGAAAGAAAGTAGCCAAAAAACTAAAAGATGTTGCTAATTTAAAGAGCAAAGGAGTTTTTGAAGAGGTAGCTCAAAGGTTACCTTCACCTCCAGCTACGGTAAGACCCAGTGAAGGAATAATAATGGGCATGAAAAATAATTTATGTGAGATTTGGGGGCACCTCGAAAAAGAAGATGTGGGAATCATCGGCTTATATGGGTTAGGAGGAGTTGGGAAGACCACTCTGCTAACTGAAGTCAACAACAAGTTTGTCAATACAACTCATGATTTTGATGTTGTGATTTGGGTAACGGTGTCCAGTAATCTAGATTTGGATCAGGTTCAAGATGACATCGGAAAAAAGATAGGACTTTATGACGAGATATGGAAGAATAAAAGACCAGAAGGAAAGAAAGAAGATATATGTGGAGTGTTGAGCAAAAAGAAGTTTGTTTTGTTGTTGGATGATATGTGGGAGCGCCTTGATCTCTTAGAGGTTGGGATTCCACTTCAAAACAAGCAAAACTCCAAGATAGTATTCACAACCCGTTCTAAAAAGGTGTGTGGCCAAATGGACGCTCATAAAACAATTGAAGTGGAGTGTTTGCCATGGGGGGAGGCTTGGGATTTGTTCCAAAAGAAGGTTGGTGAAACGACCCTTAAATCCGATCCAAACATACCTGAGCTAGCTAAACTTGTTGCCAAAGAATGTGACGGCTTGCCACTTGCACTTGGTATAGTAGGTAGAGCCATGGCTTACAAGCAAACACCCCAAGCGTGGAAGCATGCTATTAAAGTGTTGAAGAACTATGCTGTGCGATTTCCAGGTATGGAAAAAAAGGTGTTTCGTCCTTTACATTTAAGTTATGATAGTCTACCTAGCGACACAGTGAGGTCTTGTTTCTTATATTGCTCTTTATACCCTGAAGACTCGTCTATTCCTGTAGCGGACTTGATAAACAAATGGATTGGTGAGGGATTTTTAAATGAATGGAATGACAATGAAGATGGAGCTGAAAACCAAGGGTATGACATTATTGACACACTTCTTCAAGCATGTTTGTTGGAAAAGGTATCTAGTGACTTAGTAAAAATGCATGACGTGATACGTGAGATGGCATTGTGGATAGGTCGTGAATATGAGAAGCAGACCGACAAGTTTTTGGTGCGAGTAGGTGGGAGGGAGACTGAAGCACCAGAAATTTCAAAATGGAAAGAGGTAAAGAGGATGTCATTGATGGTAAATAAAATTGAGAGACTAATAGGAACACCAACATGCCCTCAGCTCACAACTTTGTTTCTGAATGAAAATTCTTTGAAGATGATCAGTAGTGGCTTCTTCCAATCTATGCATGCTCTCAAAGTTCTAGACCTGTCAATGAATAAATTTTTATGTGCTTTACCATCGGAAATTGGTGAATTGACTTCATTGCAGTATTTGAATATATCTCACACGTGGATAAGTTGGTTACCAGTTCAGCTCCAAAACTTGGTAAATTTGAAAATTTTGGATATGGAAGACATAGAATGTGATCAAACTTCAATACTCTAAGTGATAGCAGGTTTATCATCCTTGCAAGTGTTGAAGATTAATGGTGTTGTCATCGACAATGAAGCTATGGTAGAGAAATTGGATGCTTTGAAATTCTTATATTATTTGACTATGACAATGACAAGTGCCTCTGTTTTCCAAAGACTAATAAAGTGCGACAAGTTACAGAGCTGCACTCGATGTTTACACTTGCTACGTTTCAGTTGTTGCATCACTTTCAATATATCTTCTCTGCAATATATGAAGTGTCTAAATTCCCTTTTTGTCTTGTGTTGGGACGATTGTGAAGATTGGGAGATTGATTGGAGTGTAGAAGGAAAAGAGATAGAAACTAGAAATAATCCCCTTGACTTTCATATCAGAAACCGACCATGCTTCCACAGCCTTCGTAGAGTATTCATAGATAATTGCAAAAGGTTGAAAAATGCAAAATGGATTCTCTTTGCTCCAAACATCGAGTCTCTCTCTATATCTAGCTGTGAGAATATGGAAGAAGTAATTAGTGCGGGTGCGTGGATGGAAGCTACAGAGAAAGGGAAAATTCCAAAACCATTTGCAAAACTAAACCATTTGATGTTAGGTCGTCTTCCAAAACTAAAGAGCATCTACCACAATCCCCTGCCCTTCCCTTGCTTGGTTGTCCTCGATGTAAGAGAGTGTCCAGAGTTGAAGAAGCTTCCACTCAACTCTGATAGCGCTAAAGAACATCGAACTGCCATGTAGCGCTAAAGAACATCGAACTGCCATTTATGGAGCCAGAGACTGGTTTGATAAGTTGGAATGGCTGGACGAAGCCACACGAAATGCTTTTCGGCAATGAGGTCTCAGTTTACAAATTGCATAATGGAAGTGATCCAGGTGTGCTCTTATTCTCTACAATATTCCAATTGTTCTTCATGTATTGATGAATATTTTTTCTGGGTGCTATTTCTTACTCTATTGTTAAAGATTATTTGACGAATCGCTTTGTAGATCTCTACATCCTATCCTGCATAATTCTCTCCGTGAAAAATAAGCTACTTCAGCTCAACAAATAAGCTTGTGTTGTCTTCACAGATGTGATACCTGCCCATTACTGCTTCTCAGGTGTGGTGGCTGCGTTGCAATTGCTCACCAACCATTTCCATGACGTGTTTCTATTTCTTTCTTATTCGGTGGTGCTTATGTAAGAGTGGTTCTATGTCTATTCAATGTAGTGCTTTGGTGTTTGAACTTTGAACAATGTTAATGTTTTTTCACTTATTGAATTGGTGTTTGATTCTTCAACAGGTCACTAGTTTTTCACCGAGTGAATTGGTGTTTGATCCTTCTATAGTGTTTGTTAATACTTGTTTTCACTTCATTTCTTGTTAGGAACACAATTTGTTAATTTCTATATGTGCGTATATGTAATTTTGACAGTTGAAACACTGGTAGCCCATTCATTGTAAAATTGCTTGAATTATTACTACCCAACAAATTTGATCAAAATTTTATATTTCAATAGCATTACTCATCGACATGAACTACATTGTAGAGTTGTCTGTAATAGAAAATAAAACTTGCACTTAGATAGTAAAACACATACCAAAACTCTTCCAGTCTGCAATATTTTTTTTCTATCAATAATGGTTGGAAAATTGCATAACCTTTGTTGTAATGTTGATCCCAATTAGGTCAACAAAACTGTTGACTAGGCCATATATATCTTCCAGTGTTTCATAGCTTCAAAATAAGATCAAAGCTCGTTGAAAGCAGTAGGTGCAAAATTAAACACAACAAAGTTGGGAGTCAAAAATAGCAAAAAAAGTTAGAGATTCTAGAGTTCGTCTTTTCAATTTTCCAAAGCAAATGGAATTGAAACACCTTGATCTCACATTTTCCCGTCCTTTGCTTGAGGCCTGATCGTTTGTGGCCACTTGTCCATGCTAATAACAGGGCCGAGCCTAAGCATGGGCCACTTGAGCGGCTGCCTATTGGGGCCCCAATATCCAAAGTTGAATACTTTTTGCCATAAGATTATTAATCCTTGTTTTTTAATGGTGATCTCATCTAGTATTGATTTAAATCATAGTGCTTACAATTTCTTTGCTCTTAATTGGATGTCTCCTCTTTTTGTTATTCATCTTCTTCACGGTGCACATGAGAGGAGATCGTTCCCAAGCCTATGGCTTGTTTGGACTTGGTGTCTTACCTTCCTTGTAGGGCTGTGCAATATAATTCTTTTATACTTCTGTTGTTGTGGTTAAACAAGAAAAATCGCCATTATATACCGTGAATGTTCAACATTACTTTCCGAAAAAACATGTTTAATGTGGCACTTTACTAGAGATCCATATCTAAAATAACCAAGCTAAATTCTAGTTGTTTTATGATTAATCTAGGTACCACTTAGACCCAACTATTATGTGCAAAATTGGTTGGTTATTGGTACACATAATGAGTCAAAATATTTATTTTACAGTAATGCTACACTGCTTAAATTTAGAGCGCAAATGACATGATATCATATTATTTATAGGGCCTCTTTTAACATTTTGCCTGCAGCTCCAACTTGCAAATTATGATGGTTCTCCGGAACTTCTTCAAAACCTCTACACGTGTCCTAGTTCATCAGAGAGCTAGATTTGTCTCAATTGTTTTTTGTTTTTCTTCAACTTTTCTTGAATTAACTTTCGTTATTTTAAGAGTTTGATGAGCCTCTCGTATGTCAATGTCACCGTTGTTTGCTACATTGAGATACATTCTTGTGGTACTATAATTATATATTAATTATGATTTTTTATGAAAAATTAGATTTTTATTTTTGATTTTATCTCAATAAATGACATGATAGAACATAGATTTTGATTGTAAAATTTAAAATATTTTATATTTTATATTTGATTAGAGTATTTTTAGTCTAAGTATAACATTTTAAACTTGAAAAATTTAAGTATTATCCGTTTACAAATTTCAGAGAGTCTGGATATAATTTACTAACGAATATACTAATGAACATTTGATGGCAGAGGTCTAATTGTCACATGCGTACAAACCTTAGGGGTCTGTGTATAATATATTTTAAATTTCATGGGGTCGAGAATATAAAATGTACTAGTAATTGCCATAAAAATGTACTAGTAAATACTTTTTTAAGGATTTTGTAGTGATTAGAAGTTTTTCTGGATCTTGACATTTAGAACTTCTATTCTGTTTTTTTATTTATTGATATAAATATATATGTAGATATAAAGATAAATGAATGGATATATATATATATGTGTTGAATTGTTAAATGGTAGTTACGTATTAGATGTGAATGAGAATTTATATTTTTTTAGAATTACTAACAAATACTAAGGTGGCAAAGTATTTTAAAAAGGTCACTTTGGCCAGTCAAAAGCATTTCAAGACGGTAATACAAATATAAATAGATACAGATATACATTACAAAAAAAAAAAAAGGAGATGTTCAAGAATAATTTGGCTAATTAAATACACAGGACATAATGGTAATTTTAATAAGAAGGACATGAGGGCATAATTACATTTATAGTTTTTTATAAGCCAAAATAATGAACTAAACTTTTTTATATTAAGATTCATTTGCTAGTAATATAAATATAAAAAGAAAAAATAAATAAAAATCCAAGATTTTTGATTAGAGGATAACTATAACACTTACACTTAAAAGTGTAACCCACACACACTCAAAGACTATCCGATGTGAGATAGCTCCAGCCTATCGGCCCAAGGTTGAATGATTTGTTTTTGACTCTTTAAATTGTGGATCATTTATTTTTAAATTCATTTGTCCATAACATTCAGAATTATTTTGTACCAATACTCTTCGGATACATTTAAATTTAATGGTGAATGATTAATTTGATCACGATTTGATTATACAGGATGTAAATCCACCACATCCGACATTGTGGCTTAATAACACTTGTGAAATTACTAATTACCCGGTCTGCAACATTTTTTTCTTCTAATAATGCTACACACTAGTTTTATGTACCATCTTTGTGCATCATCTCAAAATAGATTATTAGATTAATAAGTTCCACAAAATTTATTAAATATGCAGTAACTCTAATTTTACCGCATCAAGTGATGCACAAGGGTGATATTAACAATATTTTTTTAAATGCTAAGAAATTGACTGACAAGTCAAAGCACTATTTGTTGAAACTGCGACACATGGCATAAATCTATAATAATAATAATAAATAAATAAATAAATAAGATAGAATCCATTTCAAAATTTTTAATTAAAAAAACAAAAGAGCAGTTACAATTTAATTGAAGTTTAAGTAAATGACCCAGATCTCGAGTAAACTCATCTAATTAAATTTAATGACTCATAATCCATTCTACTAAAAACTCAAATGTAGCCCAACTTTTGCAACACACATGCCAACTCAGGCATCCCCTCTCTCTCTCTCTCTCTCTCTCTCTCACACACACACACACACACACTCTGCCATGGCTTCAGTAGTCTCTTTTTTTGGTACATATGGCATCAGTAGTCTCGCCCAAACCCAGTCGCTCCTCTGCCACGGTCGCCTAGGTACCTCCCTCTCTCTCTCCACTCGCACCCTTTCTGTCTCACACACACACATAGTCGAACACAGACAAACACACATCGCACATACACACAGAGTCGAACACAAACACAGACACACACCAGCACACACATACACAAATACAACTTGCACAGACCAGATTCACCAAATTACTTTCAATTCATAAATTTTACCCAATTTTCTCCTTCGAATAATTTCGTGAACATGAATTGTTTCTGACAGAGTTTCTTGCGCCTCTCTGATGTTCGACAAAAATGTCACATTGAGCCCTTGACATCCAACATTACGCACATTTGGGTATGTTCTATTCATGTTTCTGAATTTTTTTGTTTATTTTGTTGTATTTAAACAATTTTATTTTGTTCTATTGATGTTTCTGAGAGTTTAGTTATTTTTTATGTTGGAGGAAAATATGATTCTTTGCTCGCCAATCATGCTGATTGGCATAATTGCAGCAGTCGTTGGTATGAAGGTTTCAATGTTCATTTCCATAGTTTTTCCTTTTAGTAGTCTCCCTAAAAAGTTGGTGGAAGTGATGGCTTTGACAAGAATTTTGGGATGAATACAGTTTGTGTGGTGGATGTTTTGGTGATGTCATGGGTGAAGTCTTGAAGAGTATCATCCAAGTCAATATGCTGGAAGACTATTGTTCTTTTCTCCTATTGTAGATTTTCTGCTTATGTTTCAATAGAACAATTTGATTTTGGGTATGTCCTATATTCCGTTGCTTAAGGAGTGGATGATCTGAGCTCTAGATGGTTGCAAGAAAGAAATATCAAATTTTTATGGAATGTTCATAAGCATGTAGGCATGATTCTTTGTTTAAAGGATAAGTTAGTGAGGTTTAATGCATATGATACATCCAAATTGTGGGGTGGTGACGTGGTTTAAAGTTTGGTTAAATTAGCTTGAGGGTGGGGTAAATATATGTGGAATTTAGCAAGGGGGAGGCGACTGAAAATCTGGACTAAATCAGACTAAGTTTAATTTGACAAATTTTTTACCTTCGTGATTTATTTTGACCAAGGGATTTGCCTTGATAAATTTGAATTTGAGAATCTCTCCCAGCTTTCACTACCTCAGCAGATTTTGATATTCTCACTTTTCTCTCATCTTGTTCGATTTTTTATGGCCAAGTCGAATTGTTTTGCTAAAGTAGTCTTCATCTCTGTA